TGCGCAGCTTCAGCGATGAATCCAACGGAACCTTAAAACACTCCAAAAGTTGACACCATTACGGTATGCTAAAATAAGCAGGAACTCCTCACCTTGAGAGCTCTAGCGGTCTCTTGTTTCAAAGCATTGAGGAATACCTCCGGACGTAGAAGTTCGCTCAAATCCACAACTTGGGCATGCGGGAACTTAGCAGTTACACATGCCGTCATCCAGTTGGTACGTAAGGACACGAAATGGGAGGATATTTCCTGGAGGCTGGAAGTGGATGATATGGAGTAGGTCCACCTGCTACAGTCAAGAATCGTAGAGGATCTTCTGGCGCGAGTCGCCAAGTGGAACTCCATTTCGCTGGCACAGAGTGTCGGACGAGGCTCTCGGCTATACCTGTAACAATTGCGTCTCAGTGCCACGGAATTTTGAGAGATACTAATGAGCTCTGAAGTGAGGGGTGGACGAGTTGATGCAGGGCTCGTACAGAATTGCCAAAGAAGGCGAAGATGCTGATCAACCTGAGAATCTTTAGGTCGAGCTAGTAAGATTCAAAACATGTCCGGAACCGTGGCGAATATCTCTGTCGCCAAATATGCATCCGTCTTGACAAACTGTGTCGTCGGGGAATCCGTCGACGCAGAAGATTGCAATGAACTCGACGCCGCATTTCGATGGTGTCCTGCACGGGACTCCCAGAATGCCCAGAGGACCTCGACCTCCTGAAGGAGACGCATCTTGAGGTGGCTCCTCAAAGATACAGGAGAAATTGCTCACTTTATGTAGGGACTTCATATCAATCGATTGTTCTGCGACCTGCCAACCCGCCGATTTCTTCCCAATGGCAGTCGACCTCAACATACGAATTTGTGTGATGACCTAGGAAAGCTAAGATACTCCCGAGCACTCACGCGCACTCACCCTTTCACTGTTGGTAATCTGTACCGCTCTATCAGCATTAGGGGGCATCTTCAGATCACTGTGGTCGTTTCCAAGGCGTTCCACATGTGACTTGAATGTACCTACGCGGGTTCGAATCCCACGAATGTCAATTTTAACCCCCTCTTCTACCCAGACTAGTCGTCGCAGGAAGCCGGAACGGTAAAACCTCTCCACCGTTATCGATCGCCTGATCGATTTCATCTCCACAGCATCCGAATCAATTCGAGCTCGCCTGTCTAGCGAAGATGTCCTTCACATACTGCCGAACCAGCCTCAAGTCGAAATTGTTATCAACCCTACAACCGTAGACCGCGTTCTCCAGGATTCCCCTCAGAGTCTGCCATTCCACTAAAGCAGATAATCCAAAGATCGCAGGTTCGAATCCCAGTAAGATCATCACGCACCACTGCCATCCTCCTTCACAACTTGCACTACCGTCTCGCAAGCGCTCTTTAAATCAGCTGTGGAAAATTCATAGTCTTTTGTCCATCCCTGAGGAAAGGCACCATCATAGAAAACAAACCAGACATTTCCCTTTACAAACCTGCGGAAGGAACGAGGCCCTTTCTTGAACTACAGCGTGAAACCATGCACAGAGGAAAAGAATCTGAAACAACCGAGAGTCATCGAACACGAGGATCTCAGAAGCCCCACTTGAGATCGCTGGACGTTGCCTGCCTCGAACCACCGAGCGTCCCAACTCTCGCAGATTCGCTTTACATTATCGCGTACCCCCGGAGGAAATTCAAATGCAACCTTCAGAGACGATTCCAATAACATTCGCGGGAAGTCGTCTCGAGGCTCTGTAGTAAGCCAGCATCTGCACGCATACACATAAGATACGCTCGGACATGACCTAGAAGACTGACCTGAAGTTCCTATGAGGATCACCACTGCGGAGCTCAACTTCGATTCTCCCCGCCCAAGCAAGAGCCAAGTGTAGATTCACGATGAGCACCCAATAACCCTCAGCCATCCCTCCTGAGCCACCGAAACACCCAGGTTCGATTCTCAGACCCGGTATGTCAGCTTAGCCTCACGTCTGAGCAGCTCTAAAGCCTCTCCTTCATTGCCACCACCAATCGCCATCGACACCAACTTGTGCCTTCGAAGAGAACTTTTCGCGCGCCCCGGAATTACCACCTCACCCAGTAGCAGCCGCATGCTCCGTCAACTCCCGTGTCGGATCAGCTCCCGGGGTGACGATGAAAAGGACCGGTAGAGCACCT